GTGGAGCTGAGTTAGCTGTAATTGTTAACAACCTCAATATCTTCTCCAGCCATCATGGTGCTATCAATTGGCCCAATGGTGAGAATCTTTGTTTTCCTGATGCTGAGCTTCAATCCATATAGAAGACTACAGTCTTCAACTTTCTGCAGCAAGTGCTTCAGTTTCTCCTCAGTTTCAGCAAACAAGGTTGTGTCATCTGCATGACACAGGTTGTTGATGAGTCTTCCTACAATCCTGATGCCACATTCCTCCTCATAAAGCCCAATCTCCAAATGATCTGTTCCACATATAGACTGAAAAAGTATGGAGACAGAATTCATCCCTGATGCATTCTTTTCCTGATTTTGAACCATTCAGTGTTTTCTTGCTCTGTTCTGAGGCCTGCTTCCTGGTCTGAATACAGGTTTCACATGAGCACAATCAAGTGTTCTAGGATTCCCATTCTCCTCAAGGTTAGCCACAATTTGTTGTGATCCACACAGTCAAATGCCTTTGCAAAGTCAATGAAACACAGATAGATATTCTTCTAGTACTCTTAGCTTTCATCCAAGATCCATCTAATTTTGGCAATACTGTCTCTAGTTAGATCACCTCTTTAAACCCAGCTTATATCTCTGGTAGTTCTCTATCAAGAACTTACCTTGGAAATTATCATATTGGGACAGTTGTGTGGTACAAAAGGAAGAACAGAGACATTAAGTCACAAGACAACACTCATGGAGCAGAAGCTCAGGGGTAAGAACCTTCCTCCAGTACTTCTTTAGACAAATATCCTCTCTTGAAGCTGATACCTGGGTACTTTAAATCCTCCTAAATATATGAGACATGCATCAGCATGAGAGAGCAGCAGCAGTGGGAGGTGCAAGACATCACCGAAGTGACTTGCAGCCTAAGCCATCATATCAAGGGGTTGCTGGAGGGGAGGAAGGTGCTGGACAGGGGAGGGGAGAGTGCAAATGATGCTGATATAACAGGAAAAGGGAAGGAACAAGACAAAGTCGCTGGGGTGGGAGGGACACTGAATGTGTTGATTATTTCTGTAAGGGGAAGTATCTCTCATCTGCTCCTTTAGGTAAAATATTTGTCTGACAGATATTGTTCTAAAACTAAGAAGTCAAATTAAGACAGACTAGGAAAAAGAATTGTCCATCCACTTCCAAATTGTAAAAGGTCTTTTTTTGTATATCTGAACTAAATTTAGAAACATAAGGTTCATTTTAAAGAATTCTAAAGGCATATAATAGATTAGTATTTTAACACTTTGGATACTAAAGGATCCCTTTTCCCTCCTAATTTTTCCTCATATTGTTTTAAATTTAAAAGAATTTAGTACTATGTACAGGAGAGGTTTTAAAGTAAATCTGTACTAGATGTATTTTTATACTATCTTTAAGGATTGCTACCCGGAGATCCAAGATGGTGGAAGAAGCAGAGACAGTGTGGTGAGCTGCTGGAGCAGTGAACCACTTAAAGCAGGGTCATTATGGCCTTCCACAGACTTCGGCTTATTGATAATTGAACACTTAAACAGTTGATGACTAGCCCTCGGTGAAGATCGAGGCTCAACAACAAGTAGTCAAGGATTCCCAAGGAGAAATGGGTGAGTCTCGTGGCTCTCAACCCGCCCCCCCTGCCCCCCCGCAGAGCCCGTGCCTCGCCGAACAGCCACTGCAGCTCCATGAGGCTTCCACAGCCGGAAAGAATGGATTCCCTCACCCAGGATGGATGCTGGGCACTGGCCCCCCTCAAGACTGGTGCAGCGAAGCCACCACCCTGCCACAAGGTGGACTTGTTCTGGAGAGAATTCTTGGAGCCAGGATGGTGGCAGTGGGGGAAGCGGGTGCCTGCCGGCCGCCTGCACAAAAGGGGCCATGCACCCTCCGAGTGCCCGTGC